AGTTGATGTTCTTACCACTCCAAAAATAAGTGACCACTCGATCATTTCAGTTCCATTATACTATGAAAACACAAAGGATGAAAACCAGATAAAAATTAAGACAAGATCTACCTTTAATTTTAACGAGCATCAGTTTAAGTTAAACCTTTTGCAAAGAGACTGGGACAACTCTATAATGGACACCAACAGACTAGCGAATAAATTAGTGCACGGTTTGGAAGACGAATTAAATAAAATGTGCCCGATAGTAGAAAAACAAATATTAAAAAAGTATCTTGACAACAAATGGATTACACAGGAAGTTTTAAACAAAATAAGAGAAAGAGATAACAAATACAAAGCCGCAATAGTTACTAAGTCAGAACAACACTGGAATGAATATAAGTTACATCGAAACTCAGTAGTAAAGAGCATTAAGTTAGCTAAGGATAAATACTACTTGAATATTGTTGACAATAATAAGCAAAATTCGGCTGAAATGTGGAAAAACTTAAAGCAACTACTCCCTTCAAATCGAGAGAAAACGTCAAAAAAAATTATATTTAACGGCGTAGATTTTACTTCAGACACACAAATTGCACACAATTTTAACTTATTTTTTGTAAACAGTTTCCAAGAGATTGTTTCATGTGTAACTCCACAAAATGATACTGATGTAATAGTTAGTAAGATAATTTCATGTGATGAGATATTAGACTTTTTTAATGAAGTAGGACTTTGTGACGTTAAAAAAATTGTTAAGTCATTAAAAAATACTGGAGGCTGTGATGATGGTTTATCTACGAAAATAATAAAGTCTGCATTTAATATTACTGGGAACAGATTTGTGGATGTCATAAACTCTTCATTAACGTCTGGTATTTTTCCTGATGATTGGAAAACTTCGATTATAGTTCCTGTACCAAAAAGTACTAATGCAATAAACTGTGAAGATTTCAGACCTATAAATGTTGTGCCTGTGTATGAAAAATTACTGGAGATGTGTGTGAAAAATCAACTTGTTGCCTATTGTGATAGAAACAATGTGATATGTCATAACCAATCTGGTTTCCGTGTTGGTCATTCATGTGAAAGTGTGCTAGTAAAAACTTGTAATGAATGGTTTAAATGTATTGACAATGGTAAAATAGTTCTAGCAGTCTTTTTGGATTTTAAACGGGCGTTCGAAACTATAGATAGAGAACTGCAAAAAATTGGTTTACATGGAACAGTTTTAAAATGGTTTCAAAGTTACTTAACAAATAGATTTCAAAAAACAAAATTTAATGGAATTACATCTAACAAAATACAAACTACATGGGGTGTGCCACAAGGAACCGTTTTGGGGCCAATATTATTTAATTTATATATAAATGATATTATAAATTGCGTAAAAAAATCAGATATTTCCCTCTTTGCAGATGATACAATGATTTATATTTCTGGAACAAATATAGGGGAGCTATGTGATAGTTTAAATGAAGATCTAAAAAATCTTAATTCTTGGCTACGTGACAACAGATTAAGTATCAATGTAAAAAAATCAAAGGCCATTGTATTAGGGAGCAAGAGTCAAACTATAAATATTAATGAGGAACTGTTATATATAAATATAGATAATAAAAAAATAGATTTTGTAAAAGTGATAAAATATTTGGGAATTAAATTGGATCAAAATCTTACATTTCATGAAAACGCAATATATACAATGAACAAAATGTCAAAAAAAGCTTTTTTTCTCAAAAGAATTAGTAAAAATTTAAGTTTGCGAACAAAATTATTATTGTATAAAAGTTTGATAGCACCTCATATTGACTATTGCTCCACAATTTTCTTTGGTTTGCCATCCTACCGCATTCAAGAAATTCAGTGCATTCAAAACCGTTGTATGCGGACGATATTATTTTGTAATAGGTATACACCAATTAAAACAATGCTAAATGTTTTAAATTTAATGTCCGTCCAAAGTAGAATCTTATTTAATGTGTTAATATTTATTTATAAAATTAAAAACAAAATGTTACCGAAATATTTACATGACAATTTAGAACTAATTTCGGATCAGCATGTATACAACACAAGAAGCAGAAATGACTTTAATGTGAAACTTTGCCGAACTTCACAACTAAGAAATTTTGTTTTTAGAAATGGTTTAATCCAATTTAATAATTTGCCAATTGAAATAAAGTATTGTGATAATTTTAATACGTTTAGAAAATTGTTAACCAAATGTATTATCTCAAAACAACTGTGATCCCCATAAACATATTGTACCTGTTATACGAGTATAGTTTGTACATTTTATCTGTTGTTATATTTTTGTTATTGTGTACTATTTATCATCATATTCTGTGTTATATTTTATATTACTTTACATTACTTTATATTTTTTTGTATAAGTATCTTTGTTTTTTATCCTATTATGTAATGTTTTTTATAGCAAAATTGCTAAATAAAGATTTATTATTATTATAAGCTTATACCATCAATCAGTTTATTTGTTTCTTTTATAGGCGTCAGTGTCTCAAGTCTCAAGCTTTTAAGAAAATATTCAAATTTAATTTTAATTTATTTGGTTCTTCTATAGCTTTACTTGTTAACTTCTTACAATTTTTTTGTATTAAAGAACTTTTTTACGTTTATTTTTTTTTTTAATTTTTGACGTTTTCCTCGTCACCTGTCATTTGTCATCTGTCAACTTGACACCTGTCAATTGATAACCCCTGTTCATGGTTTTTCTTTTTTGGGATTTTACTTAATCAATTTTTTTCAATGCGAAAATAAATTAATAAAAAAAATAAATAATAAAACGACTTTATTTGACATAAAAAGTAATACATCAAAAGGAGAAAGTTTGATCATGGATCATTCTTCCACTTAACCCTACTATACATAATGAATTTTTATTTATAAAAAACAAAAACAAAATAAAACATGGTAACTTAAACATAAATAAAAATAAAATAAAAATAAAATAAAAATAAAATAAAAATAAAATAAAAATAAAATAAAAATAAAATAAAAATAAAATAAAAATAAAATAAAAATAAAATAAAAATAAAATAAAAATAAAATAAAAATAAAATAAAAATAAAATAAAAATAAAATAAAAATAAAATAAAAATAAAATAAAAATAAAATAAAAATAAAATAAAATAAAAATAAAATAAAAATAAAATAAAAATAAAATAAAAATAAAATAAAAATAAAATAAAAATAAAATAAAAATAAAATAAAAATAAAATAAAAATAAAATAAAAATAAAATAAAAATAAAATAAAAATAAAATAAAAATAAAAATAAAATAAAAATAAAATAAAAATAAAATAAAAATAAAATAAAAATAAAATAAAAATAAAATAAAAATAAAATAAAAATAAAATAAAAATAAAATAAAAATAAAATAAAAATAAAATAAAAATAAAATAAAAATAAAATAAAAATAAAATAAAAATAAAATAAAAATAAAAATAAAAATAAAAATAAAATAAAAATAAAATAAAAATAAAATAAAAATAAAATAAAAATAAAATAAAAATAAAATAAAAATAAAATAAAAATAAAATAAAAATAAAATAAAATAAAAATAAAAATAAAATAAAAATAAAATAAAAATAAAATAAAAATAAAATAAAAATAAAATAAAAATAAAATAAAAATAAAATAAAAATAAAAATAAAATAAAAATAAAATAAAAATAAAATAAAAATAAAATAAAAATAAAATAAAAATAAAATAAAAATAAAATAAAAATAAAATAAAAATAAAATAAAAATAAAATAAAAATAAAATAAAAATAAAATAAAAATAAAATAAAAATAAAAATAAAATAAAAATAAATTAAAAATAAAATAAAAATAAAATAAAAATAAAATAAAAATAAAATAAAAATAAAATAAAAATAAAATAAAAATAAAATAAAAATAAAATAAAAATAAAATAAAAATAAAATAAAAATAAAATAAAAATAAAATAAAAATAAAATAAAAATAAAATAAAAATAAAATAAAAATAAAATAAAAATAAAATAAAAATAAATTAAAAATAAAATTAAAATAAAATTAAAATAAAATTAAAATAAAATAAAAGGGTCATTCCACGTTACTCGGGGATTTTTGTCCCGCCCGTCACAATTAAAAATTGTAAGTAAAAACTACACTTTATAAAATTTATTTAAAAATATTGTTTTATTATGCTTTTAATAATATATTTATTTGCCAATAAGATCATATACAATGACATAAGCATGGTCAGAAAAATAACAAAATTGTGAGACAAAAACACTAACTAGACAAATTTTGAAAGGAAATATGTATATACATATGGTAAATTTTCAACTTAAAGAAGTACACATTTACATAAAAAATTACCTGTAAAACAAAAAATAAGTACATAACATATTGATGTATAAATAACATAGGTATTGATGTATAAATAACATATTGATGTATAAAAAAAAAGGTACAAAACAATTTGAGACAAAAAGTTGTAATTGCACAAAAAAACAGACAATCAATATATTAGCATTTAAATTGTATAGTGATAGACGATTAAAACGGACATTGTAAAAACTCATTCAGAGAGTAAAAACAGTGGTGTAAAAGGAACTGTTTTACTGTTTGTTTAAAATTTGTTATAGACTGTATCTCCTTTATATCATTGGGCAACTTGTTTGAGACCGCTATACACCTGTACAAAACACTTTTGTGAAATAACTCAGACCTATGTAATGGAACTCTTAATAGTGCACCGCCTCTCATATTCATGTTATCAAACACATCCATATTTCTAGTAAACAGTCCTGGATTTTTTTTTGTAAACAAAAGCATATATAATAAGTTATAAGCACAATAAAAATAATATTATAAAATATTAATTTTATAACTTGTGGTTTTTACTCACAATTTTTAATTGTGACGGGCGGGACAAAAATTACCGAGTAACGTGGAATGCCCCAAAAATAAAATAAAAATAAAATATTAAAAAAAAACTTTTAAGAAAGGTTGATGTGTAACACTCACCTTTTTCTCTTTCTGGGAGGGGTTGTATTTTCTAAGTTTTCTTTTTTTATAAAATCATCTGCGTCCCTATAAGAAAAACCAATTTTACTTTTCCACTTTTATTTATGTTTTTTTATGTTACCACTGTTTATTTTTTATATAATAAAAAAAGAGTAAATATTTATAATATGAAATTAATTATTTTTTAGATAAATAAATTGTTAAACTTTAATATTACTTTATACATTAATTCTACCTTGATAGGTTACAATTTAAGGAAAATGTTAAATAGTTTAATTTCAAAGGTTCATATTCATACTTAAACTTATGGAGGTCGACAAGACTTTCTCCGAAAATGCCTCCTGGAAGCGCTATAGGCATTTGAAACTGTTTCGCAAAATCAAGTTTTTAATAAAAACTTTTTAAAAATTATTTCAAAAACAGTTAGCGAGAAAATAATGATGCTTTATTTTTGGGGTAAGAAATCATCTGGTGGTGGCAAATAGGATAAATGATGACTATAGGCGTGCAAAACTACTCGCGGAAAAAATCCTCATAATTTTTTTTCTTTTTTATTTAATTCTATATCTTGGAATTTTACGTAAATAATTGAAACGCCTTTTTTTAAAAGAAAGGAAACTGAAAAAGACAGATATTATGCAGTTGTCTGACTCCAAAAATGTGTGCAATATTTAACGATAAAAGTGTATTTAAGAACTTTTAAATATTAATTTTCATTGGATAAAATTTGCATTGGATAAAATTTCCATTGGATAAATTCTCACTGAATAAAATTATCCACTGGATAAAAATTGTACTGGATAAAATTATCATTGAATAAAATTTCCACTGGATAAAACTCTCATTGAATAAAATTATCATAGGTTAAAAGTTGCATTGGATAAAATTCACATAAGATTAAATTTTCATTGGCTAAAATTTGCAATGGATTTTTTTTTAATTTTCATTGGATAAAAAATTGGCATTAGATATTTTTTTTTTAATTAAAAGATTATATGGAAAAAACTCCCCGTTTCCTGGCCTTTACAGATAAACAAAAATGCATCTTGAGTTTTGTGAGCACAAAACTCAAGATTTTTATAAATCTGTAAAGGCCAGAAAACGGGGAATTTTTGCCATTTTCCCAACATTTTATTAAAATGGATATAGCCGGTTTTGCACGTATGCTCCTCAATTATTGTAGTTTATGTACTGTTTAATAAGAAAAAATTATGAATTTTTGTGGCAAGACATTTTTAATAGCGTTTTTCTCGAAAACGGTTGGCTCCGTAATTGTAACAAGAGCAGCTTTTTTACGTAAAATCAAAATTTGATATTATTGGTGTAAAAGAAATAAGAAGGATTAACAAGGTGTATCTGAAATGCCTGTACAATTAATTAATATCACGTATTCTTGAGACTAAAAAAATGACATTTTAAACAAAAAATCATTCAATAATTTTTCACCATTTGGTGTTTGAAATTTAAAATCATTAAAAAAAATTAATTTGAAAAATTAAAACAAAAAGATTTTTTAACCCTTATCCTATTGAAAAATGTATCAAAATAATATATAATTTATTCAAAATGCATGATCTTTGGGGTTGTCCTTTAATTACCTGAGGTTTGAAGATTGATTACTATGGGGGTGGGAATGTTGTGAGAATCACAAGTATTTATATTTTGTGCGACCCCGTAAAATAATTTTTCAATTAAATAGATTCTGAAAATATATTTACGTTATTTTTTTACTAAAAAAATACACTTGATAAAACCTCACGATGTATTAACAAAGGGGAGGGCGGGTAAAAAAGTGGCGTAAAAAACCTCACGTGATTAAAGGACAAACCCCTTTACTTAAAATAGTAGCGCAGCCCCCAAACTTCGAAATATAAAAATATGGTGTTAATATTTAGACCCCTTAAACAAAATTTCGTTGCCTGCCCTATGAAACTTGTAGACAACTTTTTGTCAGAGACTGTAGAAAAGTTTAAATAAAAAAAACACCTTTTCTTGCCAATATTTTTTGTGTCTTCTTTATTTAAAACTCCACTGTCGGTCCTACAATAGTATATTATGTATCAAGTTTGATAAACGCCATTTTATAGGCACGAGCGAGTGCTTAAGTTAATGAGTGTATAGAAAAGTTTATAAACGAGGTGCATACTATACTTTTTCTACGACAAATACTTATTATTATCTTAAAATGATTTAAATCAAACATTTGTATAGAGCGCCATCTATGAAACAACAGGGAAACTGTCAAATGTCACATTTTTACATTTTATAAACACAATTATAAAGGCTTTAAATCAAAATTTGAATCTTGAAAGATGACAGTTTTTCACAGTGAAAGTAAAGGATATGTTTTATGAGGACTTTACACTAGAGTCCGTGCCCGAATTTAAGTTATAGTTTACTGCCGGCGAAATTAAAAGGTCAGTACAATGTTTATATAAACTTTTCAAATATTGGCGTTAAGAAACTATTTAATATTTTTGTATTTTTGTATTGAGATAATAAAATAATTTTCACATTTAGTATTATTTTACAAGAAAGGCACTGTATTTTAACGATTGTATGACATTTGACAACTGTCAACTAACTTCAGCCCGTGACTAAAGCGCCGTAAAGCCACAACTTGTCAATGTGTATTTAAAAGGTCACTTAGTGTCGTGGAAACATGTACGATAAAGGGCGATTTAAAGGTGGGAGTAGAAAAAAACATTTAATATACATAACCACACCAGGATAGATTAAAGGGTCCCGCAGCAAAAACTTTCATAAACTTCTATATAAAATATGTCTATGTCCAAAAAAGTTAAAAAATTAAATAACTTAATTTTTATATATTCATAGTTACAGATACTCCTACAAAAACTAGTTAAATCTCTTATTAGTTAGTAGTTACTGTATTTAATACAGTGTATTATACTTTTAGCAGTAAATGTGTTCATTTAATAGTAAAAGTAAACTTTTGCTAATTTTTCACATATACAATAGCTAATTACTGTATACATATATAGATATCTATTGAAACGTATACATTTAATGTTTCATCCCAAGCAAACTTCCATAAACTACAGTATCTGGGTAAAATGTAATGGTAGTGCACTACGCCAAAGTTCGAATGTTAAGTTTTTGGGGTTAACTTTTGATGAAAATCTTTCTTGGGAGCTGCATATAAGTGATCTTGCTAATAAACTATCTTCAAAAAACTATTGCATGACCCAATTAAGAGAAGTGGTGAATTTACCCACATTAAAGACCTTTTATTATGGAAGTGTCCAATCGATTCTTTCTTATGGAATATTGTGTTGGGGTAATAGCTCCTCTAGTAATAGAATTTTCATAGCACAAAAACGTATTTTAGGGTCTATGTTAAACTTACCCTATAATAGTCATTGTAAAACTTATTTTAAATGTAATCAAATTTTAACCGTCCCATTTATTTATATACTAGAGTGTATAGTATATGTCCGTCTTAATATTAAAGATTTCAAAAAGTGTGGTGATATAAACAAATACGAAACAAGGAATACAAACAAACTCTATGTCCCCAAACACAATTTAACGCAAGTATACAAAGGCCCAATAATAACAGCGATAAAATTGTATAACAAGTTACCTAGTAATATTATAAAATTAAATAACTTTCGTAAATTTAAAAATGCTGTATCCTCGTATCTAAAAGAAAGAAGTTTTTATTCTATTGAAGAATATTTTGAACAATAACTACAATTTTATCCTGTTATGCTAATATATGTTTTTTTAACAATATGTTTACAATTCTATATGTTTTTTATAGTATTATATTTTAGACGTTTTCCTATACAATTTTGTGAATTGTCGCTTTTGGAAATAAATATTATTATTATTATTATTATTATTAATGTGACATAAAAATCTTTCAAAAATAACTCACCTTGATTTATCTGATCTAATATAATTATTTTCAACCCCATGGTATTCCACTTCGATTTTTGTCTCAAACATGGCTTCATCCTTATCCTTTTCTTTGTCTTTATTGTGTAAGGAATTTTTATCTTCTTCTTCAGAAAAGTCACTGTCCCTTCCTTCTTCCTTAATATTGCAGAAGGAAACTTCACTTTCATCTGCACGATCGGAATTGTAACTTTCTTCATCGCTATCGTTAATTTTAGATCTAAAATTATGGGTATTTGTATAATCTTTTTTTTGGCTATTTAAATTTGATAAAAAATCAAATTTTAAATTATAACAAAATATTTTTTCACGATTTGTTTTTTTAAATTTAAAATCGTTAAAAAAAGTTTATTTGAAAAATTAAAAGAAGATTTTTTTAACCCTTATCTTATTAAATAAATTAGTTATCAAATTGACAAGAAAGTATAATATTCATGTTAGAATGGGTGGTGGGGATGTTGTGAGAATCACGTGTATTTATATTGAAATAATTTTTCATTTCAATAGATTCTGAAAATATCTTTATGTTATTTTTTTTTATTAAAAAAATACACTTGATTATTTCCCTCATTATAAAATGAACCAAAAGCCTTGAATTTTCGAATAAATTTTGTTTAGATAAGCGATTAAATCACAAGAACTGTTTAACAGCGATTACATTTTAGCCTCCATATTGGATTTTTGTTTACGATTTTATGGTGTTATTTACAAGTTTTAACATACATTTTTTAAAAAACTATAAAAAATAAGTTATCTAGTTTACGAAATATCAATTATTAATTATTATATACCTTTAAATTAATGGAATTTTGTTTAAAAAATTGTTAATAAATTTTGACATATACGTATAGACGCATATCACTTAACCTATAAATTTAATCTATTAAACTATGCTCAGTAAGTTTTTCATTTGATTTTTCTTTTTGGAAAATAGTTTCATGCAAAATAATTAAAAATTAAACCCCTCGTGATTTTATTGAATTATTTTGCATTCAACATTTTTCTAGAAAAACCAAACAAAAAACTACTGAGCCTAGTTTAACAGATTAAATTCATAGTTCTCTTGATATAATATAACATAAAACCTCACGATTTATTAACAAAGGGGAGGGCGGGTAAAAAAGTGGCATAAAAAACCTCATGTGATTAAAGGACAAACCCCTTTACTTAAAATTGTAGCGCGGCCCTTAAGCTTCGAAATATAAAAAATGGTGTTAATATTTAGACGCCTTAAACAAAATTTCGTTGCCTGCATGGTGTAAAATTGCCCCTATCAAACTTGTAGGCCACTTTTTGTCAGGGACTGTAGAAAAGTTTAAATAAAAAAAACACCTTTTCTTGTCAATATTTTTTGTGTCTTCTTTATTTAAAACTCCACTGTCGGTCCTACAAAAACATTTAATATATATAACCACACCAGGATAGATTAAAGAGTCCCGGAGCAAAAACTTTCATATGAAATAAGTCTATGTCCAAAAAAGTTAAAAAATTAAATAACATTATTTTTATATATTCATAGTTCCAGATACTCCTACAAAAACTAGATAAATCTCTTATTAGTTACTGTATTATTTACTGTAAATAGTAAAAGTAAACTTTTGCTAATTTTTCACGTGGATGTATACACTAGCTAATTACTGTATACATCAATAGATATCTATTGAAACGTATACATTTAATGTGACATAAAAATCTTTAAAAAATAACTCACCTTGATTTATCTGATCTAATATAATTATTTTCAACCCCATGGTATTCCACTTCGATTTTTGTCTCAAACATGGCTTCATCCTTATCTATTTCTTTGTCTTTGTTGTGTAAGGAATTTTTATCTTCTTCTTCAGAAAAGTCACTATCCCTTCCTTCTTCCTTAATATTGCAGAAGGAAACTTCACTTTCATCTGCACGATCGGAATTGTAACTTTCTTCATCGCTATCGTTAATTTTAGATCTAAAATTTGATAAAAGATCAAATTTTAAATTATAACAAAAAATGTAGATCATACAATATTTTTTCACGATTTGGTTTTTGAAATTATTAATAAAAATTAATTTGAAAAATCAAAAAAAGATTTTTTTAACCTATATCTTATAAATAGGGGGGGGTTAGAATGACATCACAATTTATTACTCCACTGTCGGTCCTACAAAAACATTTAATATACATAACCACACCAGGATAGATTAAATGGTTCCACAGCAAAAACTTTTATATAGTTATATATGAAATAAGTCTGTCCAAAAAAAGTTTAAAAATTAAATAACTTGACAGGCTGAAGGACCCCGGTCGATGGCCTTTTGTATATTTTGTATTATATGTTCTGTATTGTACTGAAGGGAATGTTCTCGATTGTGCTCGGAGAAGCTTCGCGAAGATTCGCGAAGCTTCAAATGAATTTGCGCGCACTTTCATGGCCTAGCATTTTGGAGCACAATCGAGAAGCTTCCCTTGAATATGCTCGAAAATTCTCGCAAAATGCTCGATCGGCGTATGACAGCCGGGTAAGGGTATGCAGTATTTCACTGTACAAACAAATAAAAATCTTTATAACTGTAAGTTTTGTCATTCGCAATATACAAAACATGCCACAAGGATGACCACTCATTTATTGAAATGTAACAGATTCCTAGAATAAATAAAAAAATATTTGACGTCGTCAAGTAATGATTTTGTTGACGAAATTGGCGGGAATCTTGTGGAAGTGGTAGGTAAGTTATAATTATATTTTATTACTCAGGGTCAAGGCTGAGATGATTTTTATCAGTTAACTAAAATCAATTACTAAAATCGTGGTTTTAATTAAAAAAATATGTTGGAAATTAACCAAAAATTAAAAAGTAAAGTTATCAAGATACATTTATTAAAAAATAATAATTAGACATCGGATCAAATAAAGTAATTGGCATTGTGGCAGATAATGCCGTCGCAATGGTTAAAGCCCGAAAGATAGTTGCAGAGCAACTAAAAATTATTGAATATGGATGCATTTCCCACTGCCTTAATCTTTTGGTTGGCGACATAATGAAGTGTAATAGTTTAAAAGATATTGAAGGCCACTGTAAACAAATTGTAAAAGAAATATCCAACTCTCACATTGCGCTGGCTACTTTTACTAACATACAATTGGAAAAGAAAGGGAAAAATCCTCAATTAAATTACCAGTTAGCACAAGATGGGGATCAATTTTAATTGTTTAGATAGCCTAATAAATTATTAATAAAAAGTATTAGCTACACAGTTTATTTGTCCCATTTTTTCTCAGTGTAGGTATTATTTTTTCAAAGTGATATTTTTGTTATTTATATGTTTTTTATGTTTAATTTTAAAGTTTTTTTTATAAAGAAAAGATTTTAATGCCCAGAAAAAAGGTAATCTTCTCGAGAATATTGAGAAAATTGAGAATCTTCTCGAGAATATTGAGAAAATTGAGAATCTTATCGAGAATATTGAGAAAATTGAGAATCTTCTCGAGAAAATTGAGAATCTTCTCGAGAAAATTGAGAATCTTCTCGAGAATATTAAGAAAATTAAGAGTCTTTTTGAGAATATTGAGAAAAAACGTGCAATGTCCTAATTTGACTATGCTGTTAATAAATTCTCGGGAATTTCTCGTTTTTGCTCGTTTATGCTCGTTTATTCTCGTTTATGCTCAATTTGCGTTCTCCAAAAATAAATGCTCGAGCATTTTACATCTCTAGTTACAGATACTCCTACAAAACTAGTTAAATCTCTTATTAGTTACAGTATTAGTTACTGTATTATATAATTTTACCTGTAAATGTATGCATTTAATAGTAAAAGTTAACTTTTGCTAATTTTTTACATGGATATATACACTAGCTAGTTACTGTATAGTATACATATATAGATATCTATTGAAATGTATAGGTACTTTTAATGTGACATAAAAATCTTTAAAAAATTACTAACCTTGATTTCTCTGATTTAATATAATTATTTTCAACCCCATGGTATTCCACTTCGATTTTTGTCTCAAACATGGCTTCATCCTTATCTATTTCTTCGTCTTTATTGTGTAAGGAATTTTTATCTTCTTCTTCAGAAAAGTCACTGTCCCTTCCTTCTTCCTTAATATTGCAGAAGGAACCTTCACTTTCATCTCCACGATCGGAATTGTAACTTTCTTCATCGCTATCGTTGATTTTAGATCTAAAATTATGGGTATTTGTACCTATAATCTATTTTTTTGCCTATTTAAATTTGATAAAAAATCAGTCTCGTCCCAGCACTTGACGGAGTAGGTCGCTTGGTAGCTGAGTCAGATATTAAAACGTAAAACGTGAAAACCATAACCAACAAATAATCCCCCATAGTGCAAACAACTATAGTGTAACAACACAGTCAATAATTAGTTAAGGGCTAAGTGAAAAGGAAGAGTGAAGTGACAAGTGCAAACGAACATAGTGAAACGGTCAAAAGAGTTAAGTGTTGGGTGACAGGAAAGAGTTAAGTGACAAGTGCCAGCGTCTGAGCGGTCGCACCACCTGTCAACAGGACGATTTTCACTGGCCACACAGGGGAGGTCAAACAAGGGAGGAATAGGTCACCTGCAAGAAATTGATAAGTATCCTCAACTCATCTGCATGACCTAACACATAATTTGCAAATTAAACTAGACAAGGCACATTGCCTAATCCCTACAAAAAAAACCAAAAACATCGGTAACAATAAATACAATAGAAAATCAATACTATCCAAAAAAACCAACCAGCTATCGCGGACATACACCAAAGCTGAACAGGGCAATAAAGCTGTCAACAAATAATTCAAGTCTAGCAAAATCGAGACCAAATAAATTTGACACTTAGAACATAAATAACACTTATAAATTAAGAAAACATAAACAAAGTAAAAAAAAGCACTCTAATCAAACTCCATGGATTATGTAAACAGACACTAAAAGTAAAAAAAAATACGTTAGCACAAAACATGCACTTCTCACAAATTAACAAGACCAGTTGGGAGCAACTAAGCAACAATAAAATAAAATAAAAAAAAACAACACATTTTACCAAGTGCAGGAACTATCTGACCAGGGCACGGACAATGACAATAACGAACAAGACAAAGACCTTGACTAGGAAACTACACCCCTGCAGCGAAATAACAACTCCCCAACTCCAAATAGTAATCCCAAATGTTTGGAGTAATACTAATCGACTGGTCTAGGGGGATTACGCGTCGTACTTAGTTTAAAGTCGGCGTAATTGTCCCCCAAAAACCAACACCCTCCCGTCCCTCCTCCTATATGCCCTACTGAGCGTATAGCATCGGCTCGGCGAACCCGAGAATGGCTATTAAAACTATTCGCCTGTCGCTCTCGAGCCCCAAATAGGGGACAGTACGGAACGCAATGGACATTCGCACCCAACACACACGGGTGAAGCCGTGCAGTTGCTGGGGACGAACAAAAATCGGCGTAAGTAAACATAGGCCTGTACGGGGTTCGGGAGTGAAGAGGAAATGGGGCTGGTTATGCTCATATTTAAATTTGATAAAAAATCAAATTTTAAATTATAACAAAAAATGTACATCATAATATGTTTTTTTACGATTTGGTTTTTGAAATTTAAAATTATTAAAAAAAATTAATTTGAAAAATTATAAAAAGGATTTTTTAACCCTTATCTTATTAAAAAATGTATATATCAAATTTAGGGTGATGACAAGAAAGTATAATATTTATAATTACCTATTCAACATTTATTCAAAATGCACGTGACGTTTGAATGACATCACAATTGATTGCTATGGGGGTGGGGATGTTGTGAGAATCACGTGTATTTATATTTCGTACGAGCTTGTGAAATAATATTTCATTAAAATAGATTCTGAAAATATCTTTCTCTACGACTACTTAAGAATAGTAACATTCTAGTGTAATTTTTGATCATAGAAAGGATGTTTTTCTGCAATACTCAGAGATAAAGAAGGTTATGGCAATACTGTGCGAGAATATTCCTACTCTTGTTTAAGAATGGTCACAAGTAACGACATCTCCTGGCCGTTTACTAAACGTAAAAAAATTAAAAATATTTAAATATTGCTGTATTATTTATTAATTAAAAAATAATAGCAGTTGTATAATTAAGGTTTAGGCACAAAAAATTAGTTATATTTATTGTTTTTCAAATATACAAATCAAAATTATAATAAATTTGATATTAAAATGATAAACCAGTTACCTACTATACCGGCTTTGAAGTTTTGACAGATTCAAAAAGTTTAAAAAAAGACCTTTAAAATGTAGAAAAAGAATAGATGTTGACATAGATTACTTGTAAAATTGGTTTTGTATTTGTTTTAGAGCAGCAAAATGAATGTCTTGGAGTTTTAGCAAATAGTATTATGTTCTTTTTAAAACAGTTTTATTTCTCATAAGGTACAGAACCAAAATGTTATTTTTTTATTAGTTAGTGTAAATAAAGATTTAGGCATACCATTTGTTTAAATTTATTATAATTTACATTATAAAATTGTGACGGCACAAAATGGTTTGACAATACAAAAAACTTAAATGTCAAAAACTGCTTGGTTTCTTTTCTCTGTTTAAACTTATATAAGCGTTACTATTCTTACGTAGTCGTAAAGAAAATAATGTCTGAAACACGTTTGGAATAGCATATTCCACTCTCGTAAAACCGTCACCCTCGCCTTCGGCTCGTGTGTCAAATTTTTCCTCGAGCGGAATATGCTGTATTCCAAACTTGTTACAGAATGTACTATTATTTTTTTACTAAAAAAATACACTTGATAAAACCTCACGATGTATTTAATAACAAAGGGGAGGGCGGGTAAAAAAGTGGCGTAAAAAACCTCACGTGATTAAAGGACAACCCCTTTACTTAAAATAGTAGCGCGGCCCCTAAGCTTGGAAGTAAAAAAATGGTGTAAATATTTAGACCCCTTAAACAAAATTTCTTTGCCTGCATGGCGTAAAATTGCCCCTATGAAACTTGTGAGCAACTTTTTGTCAGAGACTGTAGAAAAGTTTAAATAAAAAAAACACCGCTTTTCTTGCCAATATTTTTTGTATCTTCTTTATTTAAAACTCCACTGTCGGTCCTACAAAAACATTTAATATACATTGCCACACCAGTGTAGATTAAAGGGTCCCACAGCAAAAACTTTCATAAACATCTATATGTCCAAAAAAGTTTCCAAATTAAATAACTTGATTTTTATATATTTATTTCCACCTTCTTAGTAAATGACATTTTATAGGTTAATTTTGTGGTTTTTGTAACCAAGTAAATGATACATTATGGGAACAGACCTATAATATTTTACGGGCTTGTTTAAAAGACCTGTAAAGTTTTACAGGCTTGTAGAAAAGCAATTTATGAAATGAAATGTCACATTTGACATATTAATTAAAACTTTAAATTTGAAAATCGTTATCTAAAGGTGAAAATAAAAGTTTGTACGTGTCACGCTTTGCAATTAATCTTTACTAGGCTCACTGGATTATGGGGTTTGCTCCTGCGTCGCTCACCCCACAAACTTCCAGCTCGCCCGTAAAGATTCATTTACAAAGCTTGACACGTAAATAACTATTATAGTTACAGATACTCCTACAAAAACTAGTTAAATATCTTATTAGTTACCGTATTAGTTACTGTATTATAATTTTACCAGTAAATGTATGCATTTAACAGTAAAAGTAAACTTTTGCTAATTTTTCTCGTGGATGTATACACTAGCTAATTACTGTATACATATATAGATATCTATTAAAATGTATAGGTACTTTTAATGTGACATAAAAATCTTTAAAAAATAACTCACCTTGATTTATCTGATCTAATATAATTATTTTCAACCCCATGGTATTCCACTTCGATTTTGGTCTCAAACATGGCTTCATCCCTATCTATTTCATTGTCTTTATTGTGTAAGGAATTTTTATCTTCTTCTTTAGAAAAGTCACTGTCCCTTCCTTCTTCCTTAATATTGCAGAAGAAACCTTCACTTTCATCTCCACGATCGGAATTGTCTTCATCTCCATCATTGATTTTAGATCTAAAATTGTGGGTATTTTTAATATCTTTGCGGCAAAGTAAGGTTTAATTCGTCGAAAATTATCATGGCATATATTTCTTGGATATCGTTTCAAATCAACAACATCGTAACTTTTATTAAATTTTTAGGTCCGCATATTTAAAGTACTTTCCTTATGTCCACTGAAGGCAGTGGAAAGATTGGTAAAAGTAATCAAAGCAATTTTATTCAGACTTAAGAGTTTAAATTTAAATCATTCCTCTAGTTTTTATTCGCAGCCGAAGTTATTTGTTAGTTAATATAATAAGTTCTAACAAATTACTTTAATTGCAAATAAAAACTAGAGTTATGATACTATAAAATTTAACCTATGACCTTAAATTTGGGTACCAGTTAAAACATTCTCAAAAATACCTTAGGCAGGTACTAGATACATACTATACTATAATTGCAAATTAAAATATGTTAGTTATTTCACTTATTTTTCACCATTTTATTGTTTTTTATCAATACACCACGGTTTAAACATTCAAGCATCAATTTAGTTTATAAAGGTATTGAGAACATGTCAGAGAAATTATGTAATAAGACTTTTTTTTAAATTACTATAAATATTTTTGCGGTTATTACTTACTTATAGAGGTGACGATAGTGATGAAAAAAAAATATCGATAGTTTCGATAATCATTGTCGTAATTATCAATACTATCGATAAATTATCGATAGTTTAAAAAAACGAAATATTTATTTTATTTTATTTAAAAAAGCCGCATAATTTATGCTGCATAAACCTTACAAATCACATATTAAAATATTTTATTATTTTCTAGTTTATGATTTATCACCATGATAAAAACAACAATTTATCACGGTTTTTGTACTATGGGATCTATAATACCGGCTGTCAACACTGTTGCCAGCTCAAATATGTTTATTCACTGCCAGTAGAAATCAGTAGGCTGATAAATTTGCTTGGTTAAAATTGTAATATTTAGACTTTTAACTAAGCATATATTATGTTATTAATATTGCAGGCGTTTCTACTGATGTTTACTAAATTTTAGACTGTCAATTGATTAAAATTAGTAGGTAGATCTACTGAAAAATTAGTAGACCTGGCAACATTGGCTGTCAGTAATCAGTATCGATATTATCGAAGTCGATATTGATAGTTTTGATAGTATTTAAAAAAGCAAATAATCGATAGTATCGATAAAATATCGATATTATCGTCACCTCTACTTACTTATAAATTATTATATACTTATATTTTTTACTAAAATTTAGCTGCAGTTACAAGAAAAACACTTCTGATACAATTGAATAAAATGTTTTTTACTTACTCTGTTTTAATTCCATTATATTTGTTTGATTCAACTTCTTCACCTTCAGGAGTGTTTGATGAATCGTCATCAACTCTAAAATTATTAGTAGATATAATTAAATATATGAATACTAGAGCGCTTTTTTTGAGCATTTGACATTTATTGTTTGTCGCCCCTCAAGCAAAATATTGATGTACTTACACATCGAGAAAAAAATACCGTTAAAGTTCTCCTAAGTACTTGTTTTAATTTTAAAGTTTTTTCCATTGAAATGGGAAATTAACGATATTATTTTCCTATTGTACAAACATTTTTAATGTATTAGTACCAATAAACATAATTATATTATTAGGTATTATTATAGCTTGGCGGTATTTTACGCTACTACAATGTATATAGGTGCGATTTGTACATAATTAGATACTCTTCAAAACTATATAGGTATAAAAATTGTTGCAAGTATACTTGCAACAATTTTTATACAACCTATACTTTCGACCTGTATAGTATACATACATATACAGTGTATACACTGTATATGTATGTATACTATACAGGTCGAAAGTATAGGTTGTATAAAAATTGTTGCAAGTACCTATATAGTTTTGAAGAGTATCTAATTATGTACAAATCGCACCTATATACATTGTAGTAGCGTAAAATACCGCCAAGCTATAATAATACCTAATAATATAATTATGTTTATTGGTACTAATACATTAAAAATGTTTGTACAATAGGAAAATAATATCGTTAATTTCCCATTTCAATGGAAAAAACTTTAAAATTAAAACAAGTACTTAGGAGAACTTTAACATATACATACATCACAAGTCATATTTTAAACAAATAAAAAACAGTAATTCTCCCTTTTACGGCAAAACGATTAAAGCTACAGGTAAAAAGCAAAAGAGAATTTTTACAGAAAATTTAATATTGAGCATTTAATTCTAGATTTAATAAATTTAACTGTCAAATTTCGATAAAACTAATTAGGTACTTTATCAATATTTTGTATCAATTTTGATAAACGCCACTGTAGTCACGAATTTAATTTAGGCACGAGCAAGCTTGCGAGCGAGTGCTTAACTAAATAAGTGCCTAGAAAAGTTTATAAATGAGTTGCAGACTATACTTTGTCTACGAAAAATACGTAATATTATCTGAAAATGGTTTAAATTAAATATTTGTTTAGAGCGACATATATAAAACAATAGAAACCATTTTAACTTGTGTTCTGTGTGGGATGTCAAATGTTTACGTGTACATTGAAATTTATCCCTGGAACATGAAGCCTACACAGGATCCATGCCCTTCAAAATGGACTAACTAAATTCAATATAGAAGCAGTTTTTTACAGTGAGAGTAAAGATAATCTTTTATAGGCACCCCACGGTGAAATCTCTATCCGAAATCAGTTAAATCTAGTTAACTGCCGGCGAAATAATGAAAGTTTTATAGGTGGGTGTACAAAAAATCTATTAAATGCTCTATATCTTACAAACTATAAATTTTATTGCATTAATGCATCCAACTAATTTTCTAGGTAATTAAATTTTCTATAAAAGTATATCTACTTTTTACCGTTACCTTTAACCGTTGTGCCGTAAAACAACATAGGACTAGGTAATTGGTTTATCAATATTTGACACTAAAATTTATTAAATGCTCTATATCTTTTAAATTATACATTTTATTGCATTATTGCAAAGGACTTTTTTATAGGAAATTGAGTTTCCCATAAAAATCTTATAAACTTTTTACCTGTAACTTTCACCGTTTTGCCGTGAAATACAAAAATGTTTTTTATTAAAAATATTCAGTAATGTGTACAGGGCTAAATAAATGAATTGTAGAAAAATTGTTGCAAGTACTTTAAAAGAGCATATACTCATGTAGAAATCGTACCTATGTAAATTGTAGTATCGTAAAATGTCGCCAAGCTGTAGAACCAGTGTAACGCACTTTGGAAAAACTCTAGAGATGGGTAATAAAATTGTTGCAAGTACTTTAAAAGAGCATATAATCATGTACAAATCGCACCTATGTAAATTGTAGTATCGTAATTGTAAATAGGTATTTATTAAATACTACATTTTTACAGTTTTTTCCTTTAAAAATCAAGTAATATTGCGGTTTATTTTTGCTACCTATTAAATGGTGTAAAATAATAGATTTTCTTTGGTCCAATATTATCTTCCTTGCGGCCTTGAGTTCACGGTTTATTTACCGTGAATTCACCGTGAATAAACCGTCTGTTTGTGACATTTGTAAACGGTAGCTAGACGGTGAATTCACGCACTTTTCACAGTATTTTAATTGTGAATCCACCGTATTTTGGCGGTATATTCACGGTGAATTCACGGTGAGGTAGGTATATCCTATAGGTTTAACACAATCGACTATAGCTAGCCATTATTCGTTACTGAGCAGATGAGGATGGAGATGGGGACTTCAAACAATTAATGTTCAGCTATGCCATTACAGACGCACACTTCCAACTAAATATTGCAACCCAACGCTATTTATAGTTACCCTATGAAAAATGCCATATAGAAACACAAAATAAAAATCTATATGGTTCTATCTGGTTCAATATAGGAATTTGAAACAGGCATTGCACTATTGAACCAGATAGAATTCCATACCTGGAAAACCATATAGAAAAGTGATTTCTATATGGATTGCCATATAGGTTCATATTGCTCTATCTGGCCCAATATGGTTTAGGTGTGAAAAAATTATTACCATATAGATCCATATTTAACCATATAGGGGAATCTATATGGTTTAATATGCAATTTTCGTTTAAATATATATACATTTTAAAATGGAATTCCATATTCAACCATATAGGGAAACCTATATGGAAAAACACATAAAACAGAAACCAGATAAATCCATATAAAAATCCCTAAGTTGTACATTTTAAAATGAAATTCCATATTAAACCATATAGATTCCAAAGTGTAAACCCTATTAAAAATGCCCTATAGAACCCATATTGATCCAGATAAGGAAACTAATATGGATTTATATGGTTCTATATGTCCTATATGGAACGACCTGGTTTACACTTTGGAATCTATATGGTTTAATATGGAATTTCATTTTAAAATGTACAACTTAGGGATTTTTATATGGATTTATCTGGTTTCTGTTTTATGTGTTTTTCCATATAGGTTTCCCTATATGGTTGAATATGGAATTCCATTTTAAAATGTATATATATTTAAACGAAAATTGCATATTAAACCATATAGATTCCCCTATATGGTTAAATATGGATCTATATGGTAATAATTTTTTCACACCTAAACCATATTGGGCCAGATAGAGCAATATGAACCTATATGGCAATCCATATAGAAATCACTTTTCTATATGGTTTTCCAGGTATGGAATTCTATCTGGTTCAATAGTGCAATGCCTGTTTCAAATTCCTATATTGAACCAGATAGAACCATATAGATTTTTATTTTGTGTTTCTATATGGCATTTTTCATAGGGAACCAGGTCGTTCCATATAGGACATATAGAACCATATAAATCCATATTAGTTTCCTTATCTGGATCAATATGGGTTCTATAGGGCATTTTTAATAGGGTAGCTCGCTTAACACAGAAATCGACTAATAAAAAAAAACGCTAATAAATGGCGTCCAACTTGTTGTTTTTTCCTTTATGATGGCGTCTCAACCTCGTTGATTTTGAGCAGCATCACGAGAGCCCTCTTGCGATATTTTAAAGTATTGGGAATAACATTAGCAGATTGTTCGAATCTTACACTTACAATTTGCGGTGTTTTCACAGTCAATTTACGATGTTTTCACAGTAAACTCACAGCGCTTTTACGGTGAATTCACTGTGATTTTACGATAAATTTACGGTACTTTCACAGTGAATTTGCGGTGATTTTGCAAACTTGATTTCACCCGAGGGGTCACCCACACCTGGGAATCCCTGGACATTTTAAAGGGGGAATACCATAGGAATACAAAGGAATACAATAAAATATAATGGGAATACATGGGAATCCCTGGACGTTTTCCCTTTGGGTGGTTGACCCCTCGAGTTCACCATGAATTTACCGTGAAATCACCGTGAATTAACCGTGAAATCACCGTGAATTTATCGCAAAAACAGCGTGAGTTCACCGTTTAATTACCGTCTACAAATGTCACAAATGGACGGTATATTCACTGCACATAAATGTATTCACGGTGAATTCACGCAAACGGTGAATTCACGGTGAATTCACCGTAAACTCAAGGCCGCAAGGGCTGGTTAGAATTACTTACATTGGGAGAATTTCTTGTCTACTTCTTTTGGATCTTCTAACTTCATGATTTTTTACTTTGCTTTTTGAATTCTCTTTGGGTTTTTTATTATTTTCGTCGTCATCATTATCAACATCTGTATTAATTGCTTTATTTTCTTTATTGCTTTCTTTATCTGCAGTCCTAAAATTAAATATATACAGGGTGTTAGGTGATTGATTTCTGCAACTCCAACAGGTGGAAATATGTTATCAGAGAAGCCAAATAATTTTATATTAATTAAACACATGCGGTGCGCAAAGATTCATTTAGATGTGTAAAAAATCGTTCATAGCAAAAATAAATTTATTCAATTCGTTTAATAATTAATTAATTTATTTACAGAGTTAATCAAGCTCACGCCTAAACTTCAAAATGGCCGCCACCCGAGTTTATTAAAGGCAAGAAAATAGGCATAGGGTCGTCATGGCATCAACTACTTTCCCTCAAAGTATAAAAACGGTTGCATTTAATGTGGAGCAAAATAAAATTTGACACTGACACCGTCAAAATGTTTTGGTTTTCTAAAATTGTTTTCTATGGTTTTTGGGACTATACGCTAAAGAAGTATCGGGTTTTCGCAACGCGCGCGACATCTGGTGGACTTCAAAAGCATTGCGTGAATTTAAGAATTGTCAACAATACATTTAAAGCATACATACAGTACATTATTTTTAAATAAATAGGTAGTTTTTTTCACAAAAGAGAGGAAGGCAAAAGTCTTACTCGACAAATTTTGTTCAATTGCACAGCTAAATCGCGCACGTTATTTGTTTTTACGGGGCAAGGAAAAAACAATAAAACTGGTTCAGTACTCGATTTCGATCAATTATTCTTTATATCATTGATTAAGAAACACAACACTATATATAGTTACGTTAGTGTGTGTATTTTATGTAATTGATCATGGTGAATTATTGTGTTGTTAATTGTAAATAAAATTCAAGAATTAAATCGACGCCGTATTATTAGAAGCCGTTTTTTCTGTGCTAAAGCGTTTTTCTATTTAGATCTATTAGAAAACCCCGTTGTGTTTTATAATCTGTGGTTGTGTGTCACAGACTTGATGTGGTCTGTGTTGTGTCTACATTTCTATATTTTATATTATATTTCTATAATAATAATAATGAAATACGCATACAGTTGCGTCTCGATACTCAAAGTGGATAGACGCGTCAAGTAGTTAAAGATTCCTCTCCTAGCAGCGTATACGAGAGAAACGTAATAAAGTTCCAAAAACGAACCTAAGTATTCGGAAATATCGGTAATCGGTAATAAAAAAAAAAGTTAAACAAGTGTGAAGTGCGGGAGATCCCCTGTTAAAGCCGTAAAAGAGTGCAACTGAATAAGTAATTAAGGCCAACCGGTCCACCTGGTCAGCAGGGATAGTCACAACCAAAGCCTATCAATAACCTTCAGGGAGGTCCAGAAACATCGGACAGACCGTGAAAGACCTAGCATCAGGATTATACCCTAATATCCAAGCTAAGTAATTTTTCTAACTGCATGTCTTATTAACAAAACCATTTTATTCCAAAAAATCTAAAGTAAAACGTATCATATTCCGAAAAGGAATTTTAAGTTCCCCAGCTGGCACCAGAAAATAAACATTCCTATTGAGACAGACAACACACAAATCATTACATAAACAAAACAGAAAAGGCAGATAAGACTCCATCCCCCAAATAAACACTCGACTAATACCATAAATAAACGCCAAACCATAAATAATAATAAACACAAACCAAACAAACATGGAAATAGTAAACATTAATAATTAAAATTCCATCCGACGGAAATTGCTTAGTGGCCAGCTTGGCCCATCAACTAGATAATAGCCTGACTGGGTCAACAAGTACATACGCATTAAGACAAAGACTAAATAACCGCTTACGAACACACATTGAGACTTACAGCCCATACTTACAGGATGGGATCCTTGACCAACCCCACCGCTACGCGCATATTAACGACTGGGAACGTAAAACAGAGGCGTACCTAAAGGCAGGGCCGGATTTGGGCATGGGCCACATGGGCCCGGGTCCAGGGCGGCAAATTTTTAGGGGCGGCCAGTTAAAATTTTGCTAAAAAATCAAGAGCGTTTTATGCAGAATTTTTGTTTTCACTCAGATTTATACACTAATTATAAAAAGTTGGAAGAGAAGTTTTAATACATTAGATAATTTTATATCAGGGCCGGATTTAGGCATGGGCCACATGGGTCCCGGGTCCAGGGCGGCAAATTTGGAAGGCCAGTTAAAATTTTGTTAAAAAATTCAAGAGCGTTTTATACAGAATTTTTGTTTTCACTCAGATTTATACACTAATAAAAAAAGTAGGAAGAGAAGTTTTTTAATATATTAGATAATTTATATCAGACTACACATTATTCTGCATAGTGCGTCACTGCGTAAAAGGGCGGCAGTCGATGTACACGAGGCGGGTGGGGCGCGACTCTAGCTTATTCACTGAGTCATTCGCTATTTGGGGTAATGATGCGTTGGGTCCATGGGCGGCAAATTTGTAAATCCGGTCCTGCCTAAAGGACCACGCACAAAACGGCTTCTGGCTGGGTTTGGAAACATAACAGCAGCATCGGACATATTTAACGTCTCAATCAAAATACATCACGAACAGGGGCGTACTGACAAGATATCGTCCAGAGTCCTCCTAGAAGGAAAAACAATCACCAAACGTGTCAGGGTGGCACAACTAAAAACTGGGCACATGCCGACCCGGAGACGGACACAGAAACTGACGAACCGGAAGTAAACCAACCAAGATAGGAGTAAGCAACTAACTAACATACCCACCCCCCATTCACGAATACCAATTGAATGGGGTTACTACTAAGGCCTAGGTTCAGGAGGATTCCGGATTGTACTTAGTTTTGGGTCAGTTCAATGTCCTCCAAAAACCCTTCCTAAACTGGACGTATGGCCCGACCCGGCTGACAAAAATCCCGGGAGCGGCCTTAACCTTTGACACTGTCATCCACGAACTCCTAGGGTGGATCTACCAGCCGGCGTAAAAACTTCGGATCCAACAAACACAGGTAATGCTGTGATTTGGCGGGATACGCAGGAGAACGGAAAGGGGGTAAAATAACCCCGGGAGATCAGTGGATGACAATATATCTGGGGCCTGCCATACGTTCCCATACTCATACTCATACTCATAAAATTCAAGAATTAAATCGTTGCATTTTCATGTTTTACCTAAGTATCCAATTCGGTAAGTACATTTTTTGGTGCAGAATTAACTAATGATAACTTTACCTAATATAATATATATTTAAGTTTGGACATTTTTAAGAAATTAATAAAAAATTATTTTTGGACAAACATAACCTTAATCAACCATTTTTAAATTTGAGTGACCCATTTGTTTGCGACTCACCCCTGTAAAATCTTTATTTATTGTGCGATTTTAACCGGATTTGTTTTAAACTGTAGATCTTGGTAAACTGTATTTTTGAAGTAAAAACCCCCTATTTTTACAAAATACAAGGCCTACTATGTCAGTTTTTAAGAGTAAATTTTTATGAATTCATATTAGTGATTTTTTTTAAACAAAATCTAAGCACGGCACTGGATTCACCACCCCTCAAAACGACCATATACTAAATTTTATTGAAAAATTTTAAGAAAAAAAATGCACAATAATAACCACAAAAATTTATTTTGTCAAGTTATCCATGAAAAAACATTGAAATGAAATTAAACTTATAGTAATAGTTAGGGTTGTGCCTGGTTAATTGACCTCGGTCAATTGACCGAGATTTTTACCTATTTTGACAGGAGAAATTTTGACCATGACAAAATTTGTCAAAAACTTTTAATTCATCCGCGCGCGGCGGCGGCGCTACCTAGCGGAATATATCAAAAGTATTAAAAAAATGTTCTTTAGTGGACCATGGTGCAATCATAATAATGCTTTATAAATAGTGTTCTGGATCATTTTTAACTAATTAATTTTAAGAGAGTAAAGACAATGGCGAGGGTAGGTTCAATGACGAGGATGATGTGCCGTTATCCACACATGCTAGCACCGTGTTGTAGGTTTTTGGTTCTTAAAAGTACCGTATGTCTAACCACGTTTCGGTACAATCTCATGTATCATCTTCAGGTCTTATCTGCTGGGCTGCTGTTGCTGCTCTGCTGCGAGTTAGACGTGAATGTTCTTAAAAACAATGATATTATGAATTTTTTTTTGTACCTCAGAATGGTTTATTTATTTTTTGTTAGCTGTATTTCAATAAATATACGTTTCTATTTAAAATTAAGTAATTTTACTCATGCCTTTATTTCTTTCGAAAAAACTAAAGAATTTGACCGGTAATTAGTCAATTGACCGGTCAAATGACTAGTCAATTGACCACAAAAGATTTTGACCGGTCAAAATCCCAACCCTAGTAATAGTACCACGTTAATATTAGTTTATTTCAATGTTTTTTTCATGGATAACTTGACAAAATGAATTTTTGTAGAAATTTTTGTGCATTTTTTTTCTTACAATTTTTTAATAAAATTTAGTATAGGGTCGTTTTGAGGGGTGGTGAATCCAATGCGGTGCTTAGATTTTGTTTAAAAAAATCGCTAATATGAATTCTTAAAAATTTACTCTTAAAAACTGACATAGTAGGCCTTGTATTTTGTACTAATATGTAGAGATGGGAATCGGAAAGTTTCCATTTTAAGGAAACTTTCCGTTTTGGAAAGTTTCCAATTGGGAATTTATTTTCATTTTGAAAGTTTCTTTTAAGCTACCGGAAACATTCCTTGGAAACATTTCTTGGAAGCTTTCCTTGTTTTTTTCATTTAAATGTCAATTGTTTAACCGCTGATTTTCGTTAAGGCCATGATACAAGGCCAAGAAACTTTGAATAAGAATTTAATGTGTGTTAATTTAAGGCAGAAGAAGAAGTATAAATAATGTAAGTTATGTTACATAACCTCAATGAAGCCGGATTATTCAGCTTCATCACAAAAAACCCTGGCATAAAAAAAATATTTTCGAAATAAAAAAATTTTTTTTGAAACTTTCGGAAAATTTCGGGAATTTTCGATGGAAAGTTTCCGGGAATTTTCGTCAAATGGGAATTTTCCCATCTCTACTAATATGGCCGATTTTTACTGAATTGA